GAGAGAGAGAGAGAGAGAGAGAGAGAGAGAGAGAGAGAGAGAGAGAGAGAGAGAGAGAGAGAGAGAGAGAGAGGGGAGGTGGGTCACAAAAATTGAGTTATAATTGCACTATGGGCCAAGATAGATAGATAGATAGACAGATAGATAGATAGAGAGAGAGAGAGGGTGGGGGGTGGGGAGAGGGACTCACAAAAATGAGTTATAATTGCACTATGGGCCAAGATAGAGTTTCGAATTGCACATCAGGCAATGTATACAACCCAGCTTTCTGGCCAGGTACGGTGCCCGAAGTGCGGGTCAACGCCCGCCGGCAGAAGTGCGCAAGGCTGCAAAGCCTGCAATTGAGTTTTGAACCCACAATGGCACAACCTTATACCATAATGCACAATTCCAACCGGTGCTCCACCCACTGAGCTAATCGGCTGTACATGCACAGGTCCACAGGGGCCATGCTAATATTCCGTGTATCGTTCCAATTTTAATTGATGTCCCAAAGGACTCCTCTTCCCTTTCTCCTCCTCTTTTTGTGGCGGGTGGTGAAGGGCCGGGGCACGGGAGGCGCAATTTGTGGGACACTTCCAAAGGGAATTGGAGATCGATTGACAGTCGAAGAGGTGGAACTGGAGATTGATTGGCAGTCAAAGAGGCCAGATAAAGCATATAATCTCTTGGTGATGGCTCCATGAAAAAGAAAAAGGAAGAAAAGGATGTCTCTTTTTTTTTTTATGTCTCAACCAAGAGGGGAAAAAAAAAAGGAACAAGAAATGGAATACATGCGTGGAACTATATACTGTCTCCCTGACCATCGCTGATTAGGGGGGGGGGGGCAACATGCATCCCTTTAACGCACCAGTACATGGGGGCACCTGGGCTGCGGGCCTGACACCTCGAATTCTGGAAGCGCGAAACAGGAACGCGACCGCCGATTCCAATTTATCAGCGGCAGGCCCAGCGTTTGATGTTTCGGCGTCCTACTTTTCTTGTGGTGACAAGTTTCGGACTGAAAGGCTGGGGCCGTTTACTAGTGGTTTAAAGCACCGGTACGCCACATATCGGCCCGCGGGTGTCAGCACGGAATCCGCACCACTTTGGAGGCCGCCGTTTTTTTTTTTCAACGACGGGCCTGGCCGTGCGGCGCCTCCGAGTTTTGCTTGTGGCGATAAGTTTCGGACTGAAAGGCCGGGGCCGTTTACTAGTGGTTTAAGATAATCCCCTACTGTAGGTTCCCCACCGATATCCTCCAGCAGAGTGTGCCCCAAGCCAACCCTCCCCCCAAACGGGACCCCATCCCACCTAAGGTCCTTGCCCCCCCACCAAAGCCGAGCCTAAGGTAACCGACACACATGAGCAGTCTAACCACAAACCCGCACCTGCATCCCCATTAGACCACAAAAAAAAAAAA